CAATACTTTGAATCATAAATTATAACCAGTTTTTTTACATAAAGCCTCGAATTTCGGGAAAAAAAAACGGCGGAAGCAAAGTTGTACCTAATATTATCGGGGATTCTTGACTGCAGCTGCTCACACAAACAAATCAAGAAGTCGCGACATCTCTCTTTGATTATTTTGACCTCTTGATGATTCATGCCAGAAGCTGCTTGTTCAAAGGAATATCCAAAATCGATAGCTTCAACTCTCACTATGTAATCTTTGAATTTAAAGTGAGAAAGATCGGTTTTTTTAATTCCTAATCTTGCTGCAGGTATAAGGATACTCATGTAGTAATATAAAAGGGAATGCAAATTTTCTAAAAGTTTAAGGGGATTAGCACTTTCTGCTTGGAACGTTTTGTTGACTTCCGTAAGGAATTTCAACATATGCCTCAAGAAAGTAAGGTAGACTATATTAGATTATATATTAGATAGTGTATTAAGCATATTATATAATTGATCAGCTATATAACATCTCTCCTTGTCTTTTACTAATTGAAAGTGGAGTTTTAGAGCATCCCATTGATCAATTATTTTATTTATTGCCTCATATCGTGCTAACCATCATGTGCCCGATAATTTATCAATTTTAAGAGGTTTCTTATCTGCCAAAATTTCATACAGTTTCTTATATTCTATTTGGCGCTTTCAGCTACAAGAAAACCAATTGTGGCATTCTTTAATAATAAAATCAAGATTTCTTGGTAAGCATTTGCAAGAATACTCAGCTGCCAAATGAAGACAGTGGCAAACACATTTAACTACAACAAACTCATTAATAGTCTCTTTCAAAATAGAAGAAAACGAATTATGTATACCAATCATAACGTTGGCTCCATCAACTCCGATTCTAATAAGATTTTCAATTTTAAGGCCATCCTTTAACATTTGATTTTTGAAAGCTGTTGTCAACGTAATAGCATCTCCACTTTCAATTTCGATTAATCTATAAAAAGTTGTTACGATTGTTTTCTTCGTTTCACTAAAATATCTTATCATAAGGCAAAGAATTTTTGTGGTATCCACTGCTGTGCTTTCATCGATAATCAATGAGTAGTATCCATTACCAAGATCAATAACAAGATCTTCTAAAAAACAAGGAGAAATAACATATTTTATTAATGCCGTACACTTGGTTCTATGTAATTTTAACTCGCTTAGTAGTTGAGATGTTTCATCAAGAGTTTTTATTAAATTTCCAAGGTGGTCGATTGGAGACACAGAACAATGCTCTGCAATGAATGCAGAAATCTTCAATTCGGCCACTTTTCTACTTATCTGATATAGTCTGCTTTACAAAACCTGTCATCTTTTTACTTGTAGAAAATTTTAATGCAGCTAAATGTTTTTTGCATTTTCCATAATTTTGGATATCCTTCTTGTGAGCCTGAAGCGAACATTGACAAAGCTTGCAATATGCTTTAGTATGATAAAAAGCATGCGATAGTACAGAGTCTCCTCTTCAAAATGCTTTTCTACTCGTCTCAATAGGATGATTTTTCGCTGAGATATGCGCATTTAAAGTAAAAAACTGCCTTTTTATACAATTGCGCATATCTCAGCGAAAAATCATCGTATCGAGACGAGTAAAGAGGCATTTTGAAGAGGAGACACTATACTATCACATGCTTTTTAGCTCTGTTGTGCCTCTAGCCGCTAAGGAAGAGGTCTTTAGGGATTTATACGCCCAAAGGATTAGGATCCACGCTCGAAATAAGACACTCCCGGACGTTAGGTATAAATTAATATATTTCACAGGTTTTGGTACACTTTTACTTATTCGCGATTATAATAGTCGGGCGCGATGTACGGTATATCGATACTGTTGATATGAGCGAGCGAGTGAACGAGTAGTGAGCGATGTTAATGAGCTATATTACTGAGCTAGCGTCGGTGCATCTCGCGCTCAATATATATTAATTAATTAGGTCGTTGATTAGGGAGGAGTGTGGTGTCCCTGACCGGAGCATGTCTCGTGCTCCGCTCGTCAGCTGTCTCGTCAACTGCTTACTCAGCTTCCGAGAACTTGACCGTGACTTCCTTCTCTTTAGTCACGTATCTTTACTTTATTTTATTAATAATCTTTTATTACTTTTATTCTTTCTTAATTATCTTTCCTTGATCTCTTTTCTAATTTTAATGCATTGCTTTACTCAGCTCTTTCTTAATCTTTTCTGTTTAACTTTATTGTTTTATCTTTTAATATATTGAGAAATTGGTCGGGTTACGACAGCTCACTAAATTGCAGTACTTAACTCTTGCCATGGGTCGTCGCAAATTTGGACGAAAATTTTTCAATTTTGCATGCTCTCGCTTTGTCATCCGCCATTTCGAAAAAACGTATCGCACATAATTGCAATATAAAATTTTTAAAAGTGGCAATCCGAATCTTGAAAATGCTTTTTGGAACACCCTGCTAGCTGTATTAGGTGCTGAGATATCCAATTTTGAATTTTTAACAATGCCCAATTTTAACTTGCAAGAATAAAAATTCCGGGTTTCGCTAACAACCGTGGTATTTTAAAGCTCAAAATTGCCCTCGGATTGTGAGCGTTCGACGTGTATGTGCATGTGTGTTGCGTAGCTGACAAACCATGGAATTACTCCAGACCCACATTAACTCAAGCAAATCTTCTGAGTAATTATGTGAACGAAGCTTCCTCATTAGGGAATTTCGATATTTTACCGCGCAGAGAAAATTCACTGAGCTGTATCAGCTCCAGAAACTGTCGTATATAATAAAAATAGGCGACTTCCATCTGACTATTTCTTATTAAAAGGTTTTACCGTCGGCATTAGCGTTACCCAATATGCACCACAGGGAGGTTGAGCGATCGGAATTAGCACATCATGTGGCCCTGAAAAAGGCTGTTTTGTAAATGTGTGTGTGTTCACTTCAAGGATAAGGACCCCGTGGCTTGTCAGTTCCATGGTATTTTGCGACCCCAAACCCTCCTTGGGTGTGTGTGTATGTGTGTGTGAGAGCGCGCGTATGTGCGCGTGAGTCTATGCGTAACAGAGAGAGAGAGAGAGAGAGAAAGCGTTATTTATTCTACGCTCTGGGACAAGTCCCCTCAAGCGCATTAAGCATAATACAATCAGAGTTAACAATCTAAGTAAATGCATATATGTATACATGTGATAATAGTGTGTGAGTATATGACGTGTCATATGTCACAGGGAAAGTAAATAATACACTAATGTAGACAACAAAACAATGTAGTGGTAACCATAATCAAAAACAGTACAGCAAAAAGACAATGATATTAAAAAGTAAAATAATAATAGTAGTGTAGTAAGGCCGGTTCTAACCCAGGTCCTCTGAGGAGGGGTGAGGGGCGAGGGGAAATTGGCGCGGGGGGTATGACGTCACGCGGGGGGACCACGGCGAAACCGGTAGGCGAGGGGTCCGCGGAGAGGGGGGAGGGGGACCGCGTCCTAATCGATGGGCGAGGGGTCCGCGGAGAGGGGGAGGGGAACTGCGGCGAAACCGATATGCGAGGGGTCCGCGGGGAAGAGGGGGAACCGCGGCGAAACCGATAGGCGAAGGGAAGAGGGAACGCGAAGGTACGATGCCGCGACTAGGTGTGAGAGAGATAGCGCGAGGCGTTCGCAATGTGTGGGAGAGGGATAGCGTCCGCATGCACTTGGAAGAGAGATAGCGCGAGGCATGCACTTGGGAGAGAGAGAGAGAAAGAGAGAGAGAGATAGCGCGAGGCATGCACTTGGGAGAGAGAGAGAGAGAAAGAGAGAGAGAGATAGCGCGAGGCATGCACGTGGATGATGCGAGATACGGCGTTCGTAAGGCGGTGCGAGAGAGATAGCGCGAGGCATGCACGTGGATGATGCGAGATACGGCGTTCGTAAGGCGGTGCGAGAAGGATAGCGCGAGGCGTTCGTAATGTGTGGGAGAAGGATAGCGCACGAGTAGGAAAAGGATAGCATTCGCATTCGCGTGGGAGAGAGAGAGAGAGAGAGAGAGAGAGAGATAGCGTTCTCATGCTAAGTTTTGCAGACTGTGCATATCTATTACACCGTTTTTAATCATACATAAAGGATGAGTTAAATAATTAAATTCACAGATAAATAGTCAAATAACTTATTTATTACAAGCATCGTGAAGAATATCATTTACAGCACATGTCAATAACTCGCAATCTATGAGTAATTCGCTGTTAAACATATCACTTTCACGTATCGCTTTTGTAGCGTCGCATACATTAGCGATATTATTCTGATGTAAAACCGTTACAAATTGTTTGAATTTTTCATTTACAATATGAGTATTATCACATAACCAGTAATACATATGATTTATGCATTTTTCAAAATCTAATAAATATAATAGAGTTGCGAATAAGGGCAAGCGGATAAGGGCAACGTCACCGTAGCCCTAAATAAATATGATTATATCCAAAAAATGAACGCACTTTTTAACGACCAAAACACATATAACATTGTAAAGAAAGACCCTACAAAAAAATTAATCAGAAATCTTCACGATCTGCTTATGAAATGGAAAAAACGTGAGTTTATTACTAACAATATGTATAAAAAACTCAATTGCACAGATGGTGTATTACCGAGAGCCTACGGTGTGCCAAAAATTCACAAAACGGGCCATCCACTCCGAGTGATCGTGTCGTCGACTAACACCCCGTTGTATGAGCTGGCTGCATTCTTACACAATATAATAAACAGCTCCATACCGACAACCAGCAGCCACATAAACAATAACTTCCAACTAGTTGAGAAATTAAAGAACAAATACATACACGAAAACTTTAAATTAATTTCCTTAAATGTGGTTTCATTGTTCACAAACGTCCCAATAGATCTTGCCATGGACAGCATTAACAACAGATGGAATCACATCAATAATAATTGCAATATACCTCGCGACGAATTTCTCAATGCAATCAGATTCGTTCTGGACTCAACATTCTTCACGTTCAATGACATCATTTACCGTCAAACTTTTGACACACCAATGGGCTCTCCTCTCTCTCCGATTATAGCCGACATTACGCTACAAGATCTGGAGATGAGGGCGATCGAGATTCTACCTATTTCATTACCATTTTACTATAGATATGTAGACGACGTCGTGTTGGCTGCTCCCCCCTCCATGTTCAGCGCCATATTGCAAACGTTTAACTCATTTCATCCTAGACTGCAGTTCACTATGGAGGAGGGAGCAGACAACAGACTGAACTTTTTGGACACAACCATTATTTTAGAAAACAATATTATTAACTTTGATTGGTATCGCAAACCTACATATTCAGGCAGATACTTAAACTTTGAGTCTCGACACCCTCTCTGCCAGAAAAAAGGCACTGCCATAAGCCTCATCGATAGATCCTTCCGGCTTTTCCACCCGCGCTTCCACCAAAAAAACCTCGAACTCGTGGTGAATATTTTACTCAAAAGCGGGTATCCATTGTCTTTTATTTTTTCCACGTTACAAGAACGCATAAAAACACTAATCATAACAAACAACAAACAGATTGACACAACTCAAACTACGATTCCAACAGATAGTGCAAGCAACAATCGCACACATTATTTTAACATCCCGTACATTCCATTATTCTCTGAACAATTCCGGCCTGTGGTCCGTGACTTGAAAACCAAAATATCTTATACAGGCGTAAACAAACTGAAAAAATTCATCCGTGTACAAAAGGACATATTACACAACGAAATACGTAACAACGTCGTCTACAAAATAACATGCAAGGACTGCAACGCCTCGTACGTTGGACAAACAAGTAGATTCCTGAAAACTAGAATCGCCGAACATAAGAATCACATTAGAAAAAACACTGCACAACATTCGGTCATCACGGACCACAGGCTCAATAACCATGAGTTCGCATGGGATGAGGTGGAGGTTTTAGATGAAGAACGCAATGGCAAGCGCTTGATGTCGGAGGTGATATTCATCACAAGACAAACTAACAGTCTTAATTTACAAAGCGATACGGAGAATCTACATCACGCATACCTCACGCTGGTGGAGAATCTACCAAAAATTTAAATTGTTTTGATGGATACCTTTCCAATATTATACTCTACCCAATTCATTTATTTTATTTCACACGACTTAATTTATTTAAATATCTCAATTCTAAATTAACTCATTTATTTCACTTCATACGACTTTAATTTATTTATTTAAAATATAATTCTAAATTATTTTATTTATTTCACCTCATATGACTCAACTTAATTTATTTAAAATCATAACTCTAAATTAATTTGATTTTATTTTATTTCCTACGACTTTAACTTTATTTATTTACAAACATAATTCTAAACTTATTTATTTATTTTACGTCACACGACTTAAATTAATTTATTTAATATCAGAACTCTAATTAAGTTGTGCGTGGTTTTAATTGTTTGTTAAAATACTCTCGTTTACATAATTAGGCATAACGGTACACTAATATAAGAAATCCGTCAGATAGGTGTGAATTTTAATAAATATTAGTCGATCTACAAACAAACAACACAACAAATGCGGTCAACAATATCACGCAAAATCAATATAGACAATGTAAATCATCGATATCAACAAAATAACAGTTGCGTCCACTGATGCCAGAATTGAGACGCGAGCAACACGACTCCGTACTGGTGGGGATACACACACAAGCGTAAACCGTGTACGTGTAATGCGCAGAGCGCTCTGCGCATTACATGTACACAGTTTACGCTTGTGTGTGTATCCCCACCAGTACGGAGTCGTGTTGCTCGCGTCTCAATTCTGGCATCATTGGATAGAATACATGGCGATGGACCAATCGGTGGCGGGAAATCGCGAGCCGAAAGGGGCCAATGTGGCGCGCGCTTTGGCCGCGTATCGATTGGCGAGTTGCGTTTTCAATTATTGACGAAAGGCAATTATTTTCATCCGCCTTACTGCCTCATTTATACGCTGAAAAAAATATTGGAATATTAATATTTCTACATGCATACATAACTACGTACCTATATTAATTTATACGATACTATATAGAATTATACATATATTGATGTCTAATTCATTATATTATAATTACATACTTATATTTTTGAGAGTCTAATTTTTTTATATTATTATTTGCAATTCATATATTTACATAATGTGTAATTTACATATGATATAATATACTAAACCACGTACTAATTATTACACATACATATATGTACATATATGCTCATGTATATTTTATCGCAGATAAACTAGTGCACATATCCCATATATACACATTAACATACATATGCATATGTGTTTGTAATAATTATTGAGTGGTTCAGTATATTATATCATGTGTAAATTGCACATATATGAATTATAAATAATTATACAACAGATAGACTTTCAAGAATATAACTAGAAAATAAATGAAATACAATAAGAACGGCAATGTAAACTACGTGCACTAGTTGGGGCGCAAAAATAGTTTATTACAATGTTAATAATCAATAAATAGCATACGTTTCATTCCCATTATTTGGGTCATCTTCAGCGTAAATTTAAATATTAATTAGTGAAATGACGCTCTGATATCCAAGTATAACGCGGAAGGAAGGGCTTATTGAGAGCTTAGCGCTGTAATCATTGCGCGATTATAATTTGTTTGATATGTTTATTGTACGTTTCGGTCCTGTGGTTTGAACCTTCTTCAGCATCTATTACAATTATGATTAACAATATGTTATACATGGATCAATTCTTACAATTATAAATGCAAACAATTTTAACGTACGTGATGTGCGTATGTCGCTGGCCTCCGCAATCCTGTCGACTCACTTAATTTGGTCTTTTTTACGGTTCCTGCCGTGTATGACTTATTTCAAAGGGTTTATGTTGTTCGTAACCGTGCTGCATTGGTCGTACAGATCACCGCGAGCCACGAGATTCAAGACGCAACAAATGATGCCAGAATTGAGACGCGAGCAACACGACTCCGTACTGGTGGGGATACACACACAAGCGTAAACTGTGTACATGTAATGCGCAGAGCGCTCTGCGCATTACATGTACACAGTTTACGCTTGTGTGTGTATCCCCACCAGTACGGAGTCGTGTTGCTCGCGTCTCAATTCTGGCATCATTTGTTGCGTCTTGAATCTCGTGGCTCGCGGTGATCTGTACGACCAATGCAGCACGGTTACGAACAACATAAACCCTTTGAAATAAGTCATACACGGCAGGGACCGTAAAAAAGACCAAATTAAGTGAGTCGACAGGATTGCGGAGGCCAGCGACATACGCACATCACGTACGTTAAAATTGTTTGCATTTATAATTGTAAGAATTGATCCATGTATAACATATTGTTAATCATAATTGTAATAGATGCTGAAGAAGGTTCAAACCACAGGACCGAAACGTACAATAAACATATCAAACAAATTATAATCGCGCAATGATTACAGCGCTAAGCTCTCAATAAGCCCTTCCTTCCGCGTTATACTTGGATATCAGAGCTTCATTTCACTAATTTTAATAAAATATTATTTATATAAATATTTAAAAAATATAAAAATCTTTACCAGCGGGTGGGCATTGTCGCGAATACTCGATTTAATCGTGAATATAAATAAATATAATCCTATGCGCGCGGGATGTCACATAAAATTACCGCGAGCGATAATGATGAAGAGAGCGGTGATCAACGTGCAATCTAAAGACAATGCATGTTTCGCATGGTTTGTGGTCGTTGCTCTACATCCAGCTAAATTGAAAGTGGATCGGGAATCTTCGTATCCACATTATACGACAGTGCTGAATTTCCAGGACATTAAGTTTCCAGTGACTGTGAATCAAATTAAAAAATTCGAACTTGCCAACGATATCTCAATCAATGTATATAGTATCGAGGAAAAGAACAATGTCCCGATACGTCTGAGTGAGCTAAAAAGAGACAAACACGTCAATAATTTTAGTTTTAAATCAGAAATAGGAAGGTTTGGGTTAGGTTATATGTTTCGGAAGCGTAGCCCCCCCGCAGGGGGGGGGTCGGAACCCACTGCGCCTACGCATACACTTTCCCATCCACACAACAATTGTGGGGTGGACCTCGCTTCGCGTTGTAAAGTATATGCGTGGACACAGTGGGTTCCGACCCCCCTGCGGGGGGGCTTCACTTCAGGAAGATATAACCTAACCCAAACCTATTTCTGATTTAAAACTAAAATTTATGCTATGTACATGGTGTCAGACGATTACGTTCCAATCGTTAAACTTATTTTGTTAATAACGTTTTAATAAAAAACGAGCGACGGCTTAAACCTTTTGAATGTTGTTCAGGGTCATGACCTTGACAACATATGTCAAGGTCAAGGTCATCGAGACTGCCTTCCTTCATCGGCATATGTACCGCGTATATTATTCTTTATAATAAGATTGAAGTAATTGGTGTTAAAGCAACAGTGAATTGAAATGTTGATACACCTTTGTGCGCAAATTTAGAACAATAAACATTAGGTACTAATACAAAATTACTTTTCGTTAAGACCACGGTTAGACTAGTGGGGAAAGTGAGAAACAAGGAAACACCTTTTCTACTTAATCGAACATTGCAATCTTAACTGAAATGAAATATGTAGGTATATATATATTTATTTTTTCAGCCCCAAATTGCGTAAGTTTTTTACCTTCTAATCAAATGAAGTTCAATATGAATTTACAGAGACCGACATATAATAATTATTTTATTTAAAACAAATTAGCAATCAATCATGGTGTTTCTAATCAAATAAAATCATTTGTAATCACTAGAAATCTGATGATTACATATGCAATCACAAGACATCATTGTGTAATCAGATGAAATAATTTATTTTATCAAATGATTTCATATGTAATGAAGAAAATTATTTGTAATCAGATGAAATTATTTGTAATCAGATGACATCATTTGTAATCAGATAAAATCATTTGTAATCAGATGAAATCAAATAAAATTAAATGAAACCATGTAATCGATGGGATTTTAGCTAGTGGTTACCCCCTCGGGCTCACGTTCAACAACTATAATCGGAAAGAGCGGCTTCCTTTCGTCGTGTACGCCGACTTGGAGTGCGTTTTGGAGAAGACGGAGGAAGAGAGAAACTACCAACATCATAAAGTATTTAGTATTGCATATTATGTACGTTGTTCGTACGACGATTCGTTATCCGCGTATCATTCCAGTGGCGATACCGATTGCATGTCATGGTTCGTCGAAAAACTTAAAAATTTAGCGCAACGTGTAAAAAGTATTTTATCAGCTAATGTCCCCATGGTAAATTTAACATCTGATGAATGAGAATGTAACGGTTCACCTTTCCCGTACGCCGCGGATCAAGGCTCGCCGGTGCCAGGATTCGGGAGAAGGGGGAAACTCCAACTAACTTTACCTCGGTATAAGCGGTTTAAATAATTAGGTTTATTCAAGCGGTTATTATAAAA